TTTGTTCTTCCTCTTGTTTTTCCACCTCCAATTCTGCTGTGCCCGGGCTTTCTTCTGTGTCCTTGTCTTGGAAGTGGTCATTCGCTATTTCATGAGTACCACCATCGTTCTGAGCCTCATTCCCAACGTTGASAGTTAACTCCTCTCCCTCCTGTGTTTTATTGCGAGCAAACTCACGCTGAATATCCAAATCTTCACTCGTTACCTTGGCTGAAGACTGCTCACCTTCAAGCGTTTCCTTGGTTGGAGACTGTTTGCCATGGTACTTCTCTTCCTGGCCGCGGATATCAACGGTAGTTCCTTGTTCCGGCTCCACCGTTTGGCTTGCAGGTTCAACTTCGGTATGCAAACCACTCGCTTCGCCCACTTCCTGGGTAGTGTGGACCGCAGCGCTTGCACCAGCTCCGTCCACTGCCACTTCCTGTTCAGCAAGTGTCTCGTGAATGTCTTCGGTTTGCACCCCTTTGTCACAGCCCATATTAAGCTGCACCTCTTTCCCCTTTTGTCGCCTGTCAATGAGTGGTTCGCCCTGTGAGTCTTCGTCAGCTTCCTTCTCTTGGTCTGCGTTAACGTTTTGCCCATCTTTCGAGTGAGAAGCTGGGTCGACATGCTTGTCTTGCAGTCGCTCTTCATTGATGACAGTAGTTGGGTTCGCCGGGCTGCACTGTCGTTTGTCCCTTCCTTCTTCATCGTGCGAACCTTCTCGATACTTGCGTTTGTCGTCCCCAAAGAGCCATCGYGGGTTGATGTCGTCAACGTCCATGTGATCATAAGAAGTTGCTGGACGGTTTCTCCTAGAACTTCTCTCCCTTCTCTCACTCGTCCTTCCTTCTTTGTCGCCCCCTCCCATTTGATTTTTAGAAGCTCGCTCCGTCCTTGCCTCCAAAACAATCTCCTTATCGAATTTGAGTTCCACCTCACTCCACATCCTTTGTTCTTCGACGAAATTTGAGGTTAGAATAGGATCCAATCTCCTTCGCATCTCTTTCTCCTGTAATTCCCTAGCCGTTTCTGTTCTGGATAGGCATCGCCCATCCTTCCCCAAGTGGCCGTGCGTGTAGCAAATCTCACAAAATGGAGTTTCGCTAGTAACATAGCAAAGATCGTGTACGGTGGAGGGGCCCGTAGCCACTCCCACTTCCCTGACATTCGGTTTTAACGGCCCTTTGATTACAAACTTCTCATATTCCCGGTCGTCGTCTGCATGCTTTGATGAGCAAACTATCTCGCCAAAAAATTGTTCCACTGTTGGGCGCACCAACGGCGCCACATTAGTTGGAGTCGCAAAGACCTTGACCCATGGCCATCGCCGACGTTCTTCCTCGCGTTGAAATTCAATCTCTGCCGGCGACCTCCATGCTCTAATGGAGACATCCAAGATCTCACCTCCAACTTTGATCGTCTCAAGTTTCCTTTCATTCAGCAACCAATCCCTTAGCTCTGTCGTAGGCGCTGTGTAGACGAGAGCCAATACGCCTTCAACATCTATCTTTCCCCTCCAGGGTCCCCTCCCCATAAGCCAGAGATCTTCGCATGCCCCCAACCACGCCTTCTTCATGCTTCGCGACCAACCCGTTACCACTTTTGGAAGACGCAGAACAACCGCATGAGTGCGGGCATAGGTAGTCAAAAGGTAGCTAACCTCCGGGATTGGTCTAGTAATTGCTACCCCTCCTTCGATCGCAAAAGACAAAAGTCCCGGTTCCATAAGTGGAACAGAAGACAAGTAAGCTCTCCTGAGCTTCTGCATTAAGTTCTGTCTCTGAGTCWGTATATCTGGGATAATTCCCGCCATAGCTATTTTTACAACAAAAAATCTTTCAACCCCTCTTTTCCAATCACGAGCCGCACCGCTGCACTTCTCCCAACTCACCAAGTTAGTCAGGCGGCAACACGGAAACCCTTACTCGGGCCGGCCAGTCAGCGAGGTGCTAAAAAACACAGGTAAAAAACGAGCCATCCGCACCTCCTGTTCCCCTGATCTTGCCTCTTAGTACGAGGAGTTTCCTCGCACATGCAAGTYAGTGCAATCCCACCCACTAATACAATCCCGRCTGGTTATTGCTCAAGTCATTCGAAAAAAMCGGGCCATCGCCATACTCAYCGTTATCATTTAGCTCCCCTGGCACTACACGTACTGACAYACGCCGCTCGTCCAATCGACAAGGCGGACGTCGTCACCCACGATTACGGAGGAGAGGATCGGTCAAATCCTAAGTCAACTACGACGACGGACCGCCCTTGGGCTAGCCATGTCACAGTCAACGTCAACATCCAACCCCATTCCCCTCGTAAGTCACAGTGCTCGACAGTTTCCAGGACCCACGCGACGATAGGTCACCCATAGGCAGGCCACGTCACCGTTGATGTCAACTTCAAACCCTAGTCATCACACAAACACAGCAGTATCCAGGATTTTCCACGAACCGTCAGGCGATGGTACCCCCCAAAAAAGTTTTGACCGGTAGGGACCGGGCGCGGCAGGTTCCCGCGGCGGTTCCACAGGGCCAGAAAAACACAGTGCAAAGTGTTCACACTCAGACGTGCATGGCTTAGTCTTTGAGACAAGCATATGACTACTGGCAGGATCAACCAGGTAGCGGGTGTGACGAGCAGCCGCAAGGAGCGAT